GCAAAAAGATATACATGTTTTTTGGTTGGTTTTTGGTTGGTTTATTTATTTATTTATTTATTTATTTTTTGAGACGCAATGTCGCTCTGTCGCCCAGGCTGGAGTCTAGTGGCGCAAATCGGCTCACTGCAACCTCCGCCTCCCAGGTTCAAGTGATTCTCCTTCCCCAGCCTCCTGAGTAGCTGGGACTACAGGCAAGCGCCACCATGCCCGGCTAATTTTTGTATTTTTAGTAGAGATGAGTTTCACTATGTTGGTCAGGCTGGTCTCGAACTCCTGACCTCGTGATCCGCCACCCTGGACCTCCCAAAGTGCTGGGATTACACCACGCCGGCCGTACCTGTTTTCTTTACAACAACACTTCATAGCCTCCTAAACCAGCCCCTGAGGTAATAAAAATCATTAGTGGCAGAACCACTACTGGAAATTAGCTTGCTCTGGTATTCCTGGAATGTAACTTAAACTAATCTGGGAAAGAAAGACCTGCTTCCTCCTGGGCCCTGTGGTTGACTAGATCACAACTTCGCCAACCTTGCTGCTAGGTATTTAAAAACAAAAAACATAGGAACCACGGGGCCTGTTTCTACATCTGTACAACAGGCTAAATCATCCCTACCCTGCCTGCTTTGTTCAACAGGCATTTTTTGCGAGAGCGCCGAAGCTGAAATGTTACACCAACACTGAGGTTTCTAATTATCATTACCGTTTTTAATACCCACTCGGTCACCTCCGACTGTTCTTCGCCTGCTCTCTGTCGGTAACTTGCTGCCGCCCGCTCCCCGCCCAGAGATGAGACCGGGCTCGTTCCGGCAGTCTCCCGACCCCGGAGAACAAAGACCGCCAAACCAAAGGCGAGCAGCAATCCCTCGGCTTGGAAATCCCGAAAGGAAAGCTCCGACTCGCTCTCCGCATCGCGAAGCAGCGCAGACCCGCCCCCGCCAGGGGTTGGAGCGAGAGAGTTGCCCTTTCCCGGTTACTTCCGCGCTTGTGAGCGACGGCGGCTCGCAAAGGCCAAACTTAATGCATGGACGAGCAGCGCGCTACTGCAGCTTTCTTCCGCCTCAGGAAGATCGTGGCCGGGGATCAGCAGAGCAGCGCGCTGCTGCAGCTTTCTTCCGCCTCAGGAAGATCGTGGCCGGGGATCAGCAGGCCTCTAAGCAAGTGCGGAATGGACCAGGAGCGGGGCGATAGCAGCCTCACTTTGCGTGGTCTCCGGAACCGCTCCCACGAGAAGATAAAGCTGCGAAAGAGGAAGTCTATCTTGTACTTCAGCACCCAGGAGAAGAGCGCCAGGCGCCCCGGGGGTGAGTGAGGGGGCGCTGCCTGGAGAGCTTCTGCCCCATCTAAAAGAAGCACCTTGTATTTCACTACCAGCCAGCTGCCAGTTGGGCTCTATGTCGCCAGATCTTAACGAGTTTTGAAATGCTGGAAATACAGATTTTAATATAAATTCGGATTTTTAAATGTTAGCAACTAAATTCAGATTTTTAAAAAATACTTTGTATTTGGCTGACAGGCAGGCTGTCCTTTTGTGGTTTAGAGCAAGACGTTGGAGACAGCCCACAGATCCGAGTTTGAATCCGATGAGTAATTTACAGCTTTATTTGGACAACAAGGCCGTTTAATTTCTGAGCCTCAATTTGCTCGTCTGTAAAATGGGGCTAGTAATACCTACCTCGTAATATTGTTTTGAGGATTAAGTGAGATGCATGCAAAGGAATTAACACAGTGCCTGGCATATATAATAGTAAGCATCAATATATTTTAAAATGTACAGAGGACCATTTTATATTGCACATTATACAAAGGGTTGCTTCTCAAATTAATAATTAGCTGGTTTATTTCATTAGGTACACGCTTAGTATGACCTAATTAATTAGCCTAAGGCCTTAGTTAACCCAGTCTTTTTTTTTTTTTTTTTTTTTTAGTATTTATTTCAATATTATGTTTATACAATAAGTTGCAAGAAAAGTGGGTTAAGCTAAAAGAGTGGCAGTGGCCCAGTGTTGAGGCTGTGGTCCTTGTATAACCTTCCCCAGGTTGGCTTTGAGAATGGTGAGGAGGGCCGGAGTGCACTACTGTCCCTTGGCAGAGCCTCAGCAAGAGGCAACCAGAGCCGCAGATTTTAAGTTCCGCAAGTGAAACTGCCTGACTTTTGTGCCACAATTACCTATTTTGTTCTGTGTTTCAGATCTTCTTGGAGAAAATATTTATCTGCTCTTGTTTACCATAGCTTTACGAATATTAAACTGCTTTTTAGTGCAGACAAGTTTTGTTCCAGATGAATACTGGCAGTCTCTCGAAGTTGCACATCACATGGTTTTCGAATATCCTTTGTGGTTTCTCTTCCAGATGAATATTCATCTTAGCAATTGTGTTCAGTTTCTTTTAGAGTAGTCCCCCCTGCTCCCTCATCTTCAGGAAGTAGTTTCCAAGATCCCTAATGGATGCCTGAAACTGTAGACAGTACCAAACTCTATACATGTTGTTTTTATATATATAAAATATATACACATACTTACGATAAAGTTTATATAAATTAGATACAACAGATTAACAACAGTATTAAAATAAAACAAGTATAACACAATACTATAATAAAAGTTATGTGAACATGGTCTCTGTCTCTCTCTCAAAATATCCTCATATTTTCAGACAGTGGTTGAATTGACTATGGGCAACTGAAACCATGGAAAGTGAAACCACAGATAAGGGGGGACTACTGTACATGTTTTCAGTTTTCCATATTTTCCCCAAATAATCTTAACTCATCAAAGTATGCTATTATTTTATACTAATATTTCTCCTGTCTTTCTTCTATGTTAATATACTTGACACAGTCATTAGTATACATTCCTATAGTGCTTAGCACTTGGAGGATACAGAGAAAGTAAAGAACACATTACTGCCTTGAAGAAGTTAAGAGTTTAGTTGGCCAGTTGTATTTTTAATGCAAATATCCAGTATAAAATACTGTTTTAAGACTTTGCCAAAAAATCAAATATTGTTTTATAAGTGGAAATGAAAATATATTTTGCCAAGTGAAGTGGTGTGCACCTGTAGAGGCAGGAGGACCACTTGAGCCTAAGTTTGAGACCGGACTGGGCAAGAGTGAGACCCCATCTTAAAAAAAAAAAAAGGAAATAGGTTTCAATTTTATTTTCCATTTAATCCTTAATGTTACTAATTATGGTTATTTGACTTGGGAATGGACAGAGAGATTGAGGGGTTACACTTTCCCCTTAATCTTTGCAAGCATTTACAAGATTCTTCATCTTTTAGGGAAAGATACTGTTCAGTTGCTGGTAAGTTTAAATCAAAGTAACCAAAATACTTACTAAAAGTAGATTTATTGCACTGTTTTCAAAGCTTAATGTATATTAACTAAATGATAATGGTACCGTGGAATTTGTTTTTAAAAGACTACCATTAGTCAAGTCCAGCCATATCTGGGAAGCCCACCATACTACAGACACACTGTGATGTGTAACTCTTTCGTATGTGCTAAAATATAAGACTGAGCATGAAAATGTCCTGCTGTGAGGAATTCTGTTAGGATGTGCAGATTTTCTTTTCTTTTTTTTTATGTGTAACTCCCACTCAGATGTGCAGATTTTCAAAATGACTGTATTATGTATTATTTGGACATTAGAAGTACTGTATACTTCTTTCTTAAAAGTATCACTTGAGAGCAGTGTTGTATTTTGTGTTTTTTAACTTGTAGGTTGAAGACCATGTTATATGAGTTTATGAGGACTAAATACATGTAAACCCACTCAAGATTTAGGGTTGAAATTAAAACTTTCAAAAATTTAATTTGACAAAAATATAATGATACGCATAATCATTGTGCTATGTAGTAACTAGGCATCAACAGTAAGTAATTCCTAGGTCATTAATTGCTAGGATCAATTGCCAGGAGATGCTACAAGGGTAGGACTAATGGTGTAAAAGTTTCTCTAGCCTCACTCCCAAGATGCTTTAAGCTATCTTCAGATGAGACTCAGAGTTTGGACTCTCCCTGATTTCTGACAGTGGGGGTTAATGGCTCAGCATTCCAAAGGGAGTCCAAATCCTGAGGTGTTTTGTGTAACTTAGAAAGACACAGGTTCTGGGGTATTTAAGGTAGGGTTGTACTTTCCCCGTTACAGTATTTGCTTCCCCATTATTGAGAAATTAGAGTTAAACCACTGAAAGTGATGCTTCAAATGTGAAGATGAAGGGGAAGGAGAATTCAGAGCAGTAGCAGAGTATCTTCCATTAACACAGGTAGAATTTAGGAGCTGCGACCTGACTTTTCTCCCCTTACAGTTATCTACTAGCTTATAGATTATGCAAGGTATCCATAAAGTCTGGAATCACAAGAAAGTATACATAATCTCAATGACATTTTATATCCCAAGAAGTAGGTCAGATTACAAATGAAGAGGTCTTCGGGACAGAAAAATTTCCTACTCCTCACTGCCCTCAATCTGTAGCTGACCCATCAGGTCAATGTGTGATTTAAAGGAAACTCCCCCTGACCCACTCCAAACCCCCCTAAAAGGAACCCATTGTCATATCTAAAACTTAACTATGTAGAGATTTATTAGGATATGATCAGTCATTCATACTCTCATATTGATTATTTTGAGTAAATTATATATCTAATTTTGAAGCTAGAAGTCAGAGAAGTGAAGTAAATAGATAAAGGTCACAGCATGTTAAAAGCAGAACTAGAACTAAATCCTAGGTCTACTTACCCACAGCCCAGTGCTGTTCCCAGATAGCTCCTCTACAAACTGGATAAGATGTGTGCACACCTGCGCATGGTGGCTCACACTTATAATCTCAACATTTTGGGAGGCTAAGGTAGGAGGATTGCTTGAGGCCAGGAGTTTGAGGCCAGCCTGGGCAACATAGCAAAACTCTGTTTCTACAAAAAAACTTTTAAAAAGGAGAGATGGCTTAGAGCTGCACAGTCCGCTATGGTAGCCACTAGCTACATGTGGCTGTTGAAGACTTCAGATGTGGCTAGTCCAATTTGAGAAGTGCTGGAAGTTTAAAATAAAAACTGAATGTCAAGGGCCTAGTACAAAAAAATATATATATATTTTTATAATTTTTTTTATTGATTAAATGTTCAAATGATAATGCCTTAGATACACTGGGTCAGAAAAGATGAAATTAATTTTACCTGTTTTGGGTTTTCTTTTCTGTTTTTACTTTTTAATTTGCCTGCTATAGAATTTCACATTATACATGTGGCACATATTATACGTCTATGGGTCTGTGATGGCTTAGAACATGTGAAAGTAAAGAGGAGAGGAGGGGAAACCTGAATGAGGAACTACAGTAAGGTTTGTTGTTTTTGTTTTTGTTTTTGAGACAGTCCCATTCTGTTGCCCAGGCTGGAGTGCAATGGCATGATCTTGGCTCACTGTAACTGCCACCTCCCGGGTTCAAGTGATTCTCCTGTCTCAGCTTCCTGAGTAGCTGGGATTACAGGTGCCTGCCACCACACGTGGCTAATTTTTGTATTTTTTAGTAGAGACTGGGTTTCATCATGGCCAGGCTGGACTCAAATGATCCGCCTGCCTCCGCCTCCCAAAGTGTTGGGATTAAAGGCGTGAGCCACCAAGCCTGGCCAACAGTAAGGTCTCTTTGAATAGTCACAAGACAGCAAAAAAGTATCTGGCTCCTGTAGCTTAGGGGAGGACTCAGGATCTTGAAGAACAGAAGTGTGGAATGGGGAGCTGCCAACACAGGCCTGGTGCTCAAGTTACACCTGGGATATTCCTTCTCTTTACCTCACTCCAGTGCTTTAATCTTTAGTATGTCTTTACTGTAACCTGGAAAATTATGGTATCAAAAATCTGGAAAGACTGCTAATGACTGGCAGTTCAGAACTCCACTTATTTTTATGCTAAAGTCTACTTTCTTTTAAATTCAAGATTTCTACTTGACCACCTTGAAAAAATTCTCTTTATTCGGGTAAACATCTCTAGCTCTTAACCTCATAAACAGAGATA